TGACGCTTATATAATTTGGGGGCCGTCTTTGAGAAAAAGAGCAGTAAAGTCTGAATATAAAATGAGGTATGAATGTGACTACTGATTTAGAATGAGGAAAGAGATCAGCAGATTGCTAATGCCTTGAAGACTTAGGCCCCTTTCTTCTGAGAGCTCATACTTATGTAGCAATACTTCTTGATAGCACCCTGGCTCTCTCTCCACCCAGAACATTCCACAGCCCACAGTCCCGTAAGAGAGGAGCCCTGAGCTGAATGAAGCTTTATCAGCCCCACAGTGACTGTGCCTCCATCAGGCGACCGTGCAATTTGCAGTCCAGGAATACTTCCTGGTCAGACATCTTCAGACACATTGTTTTAGGGAAGTGGGAGGGCTTTATCGAACAGATTTCTTTCTTTGCTTTTCTTTTTTAAATTTTTATTGAGATTTGGGTGAAAGTTTACAGAGCAAATTCATTTTCCATACAGCAATTCATACACATTTTGTCTCATGACATTGACTGCAATTCCCCACAAGGTCACAGCTTCTAACAGATTTCTTGACTCTGCTACCCAGTGCCTTCGGTATGAGACCGTCAGAACACTAGGATTGAGTGGAAGTGATAGGGGCTGGAGAGGGCATGGGCTTTTGGAAATGGCTATTCAGAGTTCACCATTCAAATGGACTTTATTTCCGAGACCCAGACGTTGGGCTCCTGCTGGCTGTCTGGGTTCTCCACAGAATTATGCAGAATGACCCATGTACCCCCAAAATCACCATCAATATCCTGCTGCTCACCATTAACAAGCTGCAGAGTGCCGCTCACGCCGCCCACTGCCTGCACCCTAAGGACGCAGAGAGCAGAAGCCCCGGTCACCCCCCTCTGTTCTCCCATCACCTCACCATTCATCTCTACACCCTTGAGGCCAAGGGAAGTCTGGGTGGAGTTGGGAGGCAGTGTCAGTGAGCTGGGGCTGCAGCCTTCTCCAGACCCCAAGATAAGCTGTCCGTTTTCTCATTTCAAATCCCAGGACAGAAACGCCTTCCACACTCAGAGTCTGTCTTTCAGGCTCTAGGAGTATTTGCTGTGTTTCACTCAGAAATCCAAGCTGGATGTTTAGGGGCTGGTGAGGGCCTCTATATCTGTAATCGGAGTCATTACTGGTGATAGGTTTGCATTACCGAGATGGGGAAGGGTCAGAGAGGCAGGTCTCTCCTCTGGAATCCTGGCTTTGACACTCAGAGCTGTGTGACCTTGTGTAACTTACCTAACTTCTCTGTGCCTCGCCCCATTTGAAAAGTAGGGGTAATGCACCCATGTTAAGGGATTTTGGTGAGGACTACATGCATGGATTAATACTTGTTTATGTGAGTTACAATTACTATAATTTCTGGCCTCCATTCATGTAGGGACCTCTGTGTTTTTTTGTGGGGAAGGAGGGCTGTGAAGAACTGTTTGTAACTCCTGTTAAATCTCTCAGTTGCCTGAGTCCTGCTTTTAAGCATGAGTTCTATTGTGTAATGGCTGGGAGGTTCCCTGCTGTGGGTGGAATACAGCTTCTTAGAAGATAACCAAGTGGTCCTGGCGTCAACCCCGACCCACAGGGACTCCGTGTGTGCCAGAGTAGAACTGTGAGCCACAGGGTTTCCAACGGCTGGTTTTTCAGAAGCACATCACCTTCTTCCATGGAGCCTCTAGGAGGGTTTGAACCACCAACCTTTCAGTTAGCAGTCAAGTACATTAATCACTTGCACACCCAGGGACTCCTCACAAGAGACCCATATCCTATTTCCTAGAACCCACGACAACCACCTTCTATGGCAAAAGGAATTTGCAAATGTGCTTAAATTAAAGATCTTGGATGGGGAGATTATCCTGGATTATGGCAGTGTAAAAAGTTTGGGTTCACCTGCTGTTGGTGGTTCATACCCACCCGGCAGCACCACGGAAGAAAGGCCTGATGATTTGCTTCTGTGAAGATTACAGCCAAGAAAACCTTACAGATCAAAGGACGAGTGGACCATGGGAACCTCAGCCTACGTGGCCCTGAGACCAGAAGAACTAGGTGGTGCCTGGTACCACGCCAACCACTCAGAAAGGGATCAAAATTGGACATCCTGGATAGAGTGGGAGAAAAATGTGGAACAAAACTCAAAATCATAAAAAAGACCAGGCTTACTGGTCTAATAAAGACTGGTGAACCCCCTGAGACTATGGCCCCTAGTTATCTTTACAGCCTAGAACTGAACTCATTCTCATGGCTTCTGACCAAACAAGAGACAGGTCACAAGGTGACCAATTACACCAGGTAGGTACACTCCTTAGAACAATAAGCCAAGGAGATCAGAAGGACAGTGTTTGCAAAGGGAGATAGGACAGAGGGCAAGAATGCACAGGAAAGAAGGACACAGGGAAGAGGTGACCACAGGGAGGAAGTAGGAAGAGAGCTGTTACATTGTGGGGATTACAATCAATGTCACCAAGCAAAATGTGTATGAACTGTTGAATGGAAAATGAATTTGCTCTGTAAACTTGCACCCAAATCACAATTAAAAGGGAAAAAAAAAAGAAAGAAAATGGTGTGCACCAATTCTACTCTGTAGCACCAATCCTACTCTGTAACACATAGGGTCACCATAAGCTGGGATCAACCTGATGGCAACAGGTTTATCCTGGGGGGCCCTAAATGTAATCACAAGGGTCCTCCTAAGAGGAAGGCAGAGGGAAATTGGCACAGAGAAGACAACAAGGGAGTGATAGGAGAAGCAGATTTTGGAACGGTGCATTTGGAAGACAGAGGACGAGGCCATGGGCCAAGGAACACAGGCAGCCATCAAACCTGAAAAGGCAAGGAAACAGATTCCTGGTGGAGTAACCATCAGAGAACGGTAGTTATGTGTAGTTGAGCACCTAGGGATAAAGTGACTTGCTTAGTTGACACAGACTTCTAGATACAATTAGGAAGGTCCTCAAGACATAAAACATGATTTTTTTTACCTCTTACTATCTGATTAAAGGGGCTAGACTCACCCATTTTGCTCAGATCTTGTGGAGTTTGGGTGTTCTACTAAATTCATGGCTCCAGACTGAGTTGCATGCTGATGGCTAAGAGGAATGTTCTAGCAGCTGGGAGCCTAAGGTTAGTGAGGCAGCTGTGTCTCTATCTTCACAACAGCTTTATGACTGACACCTGGAGATATGGGTAAACTGGACAACCTGGAGAATGAGCTCTGGTCTAAGAGTTTCCCAGAAGCAGGTCATGGAACTAGCAGGGACTTTCCAGCTGGGCCAAGGTTCCAGATTCTAGTTTTGGACATAGAGTTAAATACCAAAGTGGGTATTCATCATTGGTTCCAAGCAAACAAATTTGGGAAGAGCTGCCAACGGCAACCCCTCTTGGAGAGTCACTAAGTACGTTAAGGCTAGTAAAGGCTCTGAGAATTCCACAGACCATTCCTTAACCCCTTTCTTTCCATCGCACGTGGCCACATCCATTGCAATCTGTGCCATGCACAACACATTTTGGGAAACATTAAACACTAGCACTGGCCGGAGGAGCCTCTCAGGCCAACTGTGCCATGACGATTCATGGAGCAACTTCACAAGTTCACTCTGAATGGGGGTCCTGCAGCCAAAGATGATTTCTTTCCATGGTGACTATTGCCTCCCTAACACAAATCAAACCCATTGCTGTCTAGTCAATTCTGACTCATAGTGACCCTGTAGGACTGAGTAGAACTGCCCCATAGGGTTTCCAAGGCTGTATATCTTTATGGAAGCAGATTGCCTCATATTTCTCCCATGGAGCCATGTGTGGGTTCAAACCACTGACCTTTTGATTGGTAGCCATGTTTGTTAACCTGTGCCACGAGGGCTCCTTACTGCCTCCCTAGTGTAGACCAGTGGTTTGTGATTGGGGCTGTAGGAATTGACAGAGTCTGAAGACATTTTTAGGTGTTACAGTTGGTGGGGGCGTGCTAAGGGATGTTGTTAAACATCTTACAATGCCCAGGACAGCCTTCCATGACAGGAGAGTATCTGGCCCCAAATGTCAATAGTGCTGGGGTTGAGAAATCCTGGGTGGGATCCACAGAGCCATGAGCAAATAAAACACACAGTCCTCTCCCGAAGAGCTGCAAACCATGACGATGGATTCTGGACTCTGCAATTCACTATTTGCAGACACAGCACAAAAGCCTTCCCTGGGGACCCCCACACCCTTTCTGTATCTTCTGCACAGCAAAAACAAGAATGTTGTTTAATTACTTAGAAAACCAAATTTGAGTCAGCAGGCATTTTGTTGTCAGCTTTACAACACCAACCTAACAAGCATTTTGATAAAACACTAACATGTGTTACTTGCAAAAAGATGCAGTATTGATTCATTTAAACCACAAAACCAAAGCCACTACCATCAAGTCAATTGTGACTCATAGCGACCCTAGAGGACTGAATAGAACTGCCTCACCGGGTTGCCAAGGATGTCATCTTTACAGAAGCAGACTAACCTCAGCTTTCTCCTGGGGGGTGGTTGATGGGTTTGAAGTACCGAGCTTTTGGTTTGCAGCCGAGCACTTTAACCACCATGCCACCAGGGCTCCTGTATTGATTCATTTAGATGTAATTTTGGTTCTTTACATCTCCAACTGTGTTGTTGTTATGTGCCGTCCAGTCGGACCCGACTCATAGCGACCCCTCCTTGGGTTTCCGAGGCGGTATCACTACAGAAGTAGATTGCCCAACCTTCCTTCTGAGGAGTGGCTGGTGGGTTTGAACCACCAGCCTTCTGGTTAGCAGTCAAGTGCCTCAAGCACTATGCTACCAGAATTCCTCATCTCCAACTGTATAATCCCAAAATAAGCAGATCCATATTTCATACACACACACACACACGCACAATGCAAATGATACTGACATTGGAGAGATGTGTCCTCCTTCTCCTGTGCCATTTAGCTGAGGGCAGAAAGCAGGAACAGAGGCTAACGTACTCAGAAGGGATGAGAAAAAGCAGGAGCCTTCAAAACCCACACCCTGGGTCGTGGCATCCTCAAGGGCTCACTGGAATCGACTGATGTTTCAGTGTTTGAACTTTGCCTTCATGCTTATCACCAAGGCTTTGGCATCCGAGGGACAGGAATTGCAGTAGAGGGTCTGGCTGGGATCACATGTTTTCACAGTTCATAGGAAATTTCCTTGTGGCTCACCCAGATTAAATTCTTTCAGATCCTTGGCCTGTGAGTTTGGCTAATCTGCATGGCGTTATTTTTTTAATCTGATTTATAGTCTGAGAGAATGATTGCAGGTTCAGGCCTATTTTTCCTCCTTAGCATGAGCAGCCATCCATGTGGTCGGATAATTTTTGATTCATGTGCTGTTTGTTCTTCCGGCATTTTATCCACTGTTGTTATTAGGAGGTAGCCAGGCGTTTGTGCTTCCTTGTCTCAGGGGTTGTGTATCATCCAGGACCAAGCAGAAGTGTAGACATGTTTCCCCAAATCCTTCACTGGCTGTTTTCTTCCCCCAAGTGCTTGACTAGTAGCTGAAACGTTGGTGGTTTGAACCAACCAAGAGGTGCCTTGGAGACAGGCCTGATGATCTGCTTCCAGAAGATCGCCGCCTCGACAACCCTACAGAGCAGCTTCACTGTGTAACATGGGGCGCTAGGAGTCAGAGTCGACCAGATGGCAAATAACAACAACTAACTTCTTTGTTTGCCATCTAGTCTAAACTCAGGGGGTTTGACAGAGTAGGGAGAGGATGCAGATTCTCCAAGACTAAGAAAGGAAAGTCCCTGGCTCATGTCTCCATGTCTGCAGGTGACTCAAGGTGGCTGCAAGGCCTCAA